TGTATCAATAAAGTGGTTTAAAAGTAAAGGAAGAGGTGGATGGCACTTAATTAAATGTCAACTTATGGCTCCCTGTAGTTGCTTCCTACAAAGCTGAAGCCTGGAGGGATTCACAATGGATCCTGGCTCACTCCCCTGCTCCTTATCCCAGTTAATTGCACTTCAGGGCACCAAGGACTTCTGTATTCCCAAACTTCAGAGGCTCAGCCGGCATCGCCCTTCCGTGGGGACAGGCAGTGTGGTGGCTTTCAGTGGCCAGAGGAGCTGCTGGCACAAGCCAGCTCATTGCTTGCCCACGGGTCAGCCTCCGGGTTGGGGGGGAACCAGGAGGCAGTGCCCAGCACCACCCGAGCACCCGGATGCGGGCGGCACTCACCTGCGTTCTGATGTCATGGGGCTGCAGCGAGGGAAAAGGAAGGAAAAACGACGTGTGAGCCCAGCAAAAGGGCAGCCCCTCTGTGCCACATCCCCCCTGCTCCCCCGGGACTCAGTGCCATGCAGCATGGCAGAGCTGTGCCAAGAAAACCCTCCCGTTCACCCGAACCGGGCTGCCCTGAGAACCGGCGTTGACACGGACCAGCTTATCTGGTTGGGAACCAGGACACTCCCAGCACCACCTTTTTTTTTAGCCATTAATGCAGAGCTTCCCCTCCCCCTCGCTCCTCCCCACCACTGCTGCACCCAGGTCCAAGGGGCCCCATGGACCCAGCCAGCCTCATGGACCACATCTTTGCTGCGTGGTGATGCTCGGCTGGGACCAGCAGCACCCCCTTTCCTGGCACACGCCACTGCCATGCCCCTACCTCAGAGGTTGCAAACATGTGTGACTCCGTCCTGTAAATCCCGATGGGAATCTCAGCACTGGAGGAGCAGAGCTTCTGGAAGAGGCGGCCATACGTCCGGATCCACAGGTCATCTTCAGTGATCTTCATCTGAGCAACAGAGGACAAACATCAACCACCCTATGCCGTGCAAAGCCACCTGAGGGGTTGCTCCTGAGCTTTACCCCAGCTCATCCCTGTCAATCCCAAAAGCAAAGTTCCACAGAAAGACCAGGGGCAATTTCCAACCTCAGCCTTCAAAACAGGGAATTTGGTCCTTGGCAGCTCTTGGGCTTTTGTCCTTTTGGTAGCACTGAGGTTCCCTGCACGCTATGGAGAGGAGCAAGGACCTGGCAGTGCTGCCTCCCCCCCCACTTCCCTGGAAGATGGGAACCCTCCACCCCTGTGTGCAGGGTGACAGACCCCACCACATCCAGACCCAGCAGATCCCACCAGACAACTTGACCTGATGGTTTCAACACAGAGAGATTTGGCACCTACCGCACAGAGGTAGCCAGAACCCGGCGTGGTGTCGAGGCCCAGCAGCAGCCGAGTGATGGTGATCATGTAGTCCTTCACGAACGACTGCGGGGAGACGTGGGCAGGAAACCAGAGAAAAGTTTGCACTGGGAGATGCAAAGGGGAGGCCACAGCTGCAGGGTGCATTACACGGAGCTCGCCGGGTTCTCACCTGGTAGAGCAGCGTGTCCAGCATGCTGATGCTGAAGACCCTCCCGGCCGCGAAGGGCAGCCGGAACATGAAGGCCAGGTTGGAGCCATTCTCTCGCTCTTTCTGGAAGAGGAAGGGGAGACATGAGCACCCACAGGGCCTTGGTCACATCCTCCAAAGCATTTAGCAGTGGGTAGGGGGTTTTGACATGGGCTGGATGCAGCCATTTCACATGTCCCAGTGTCGGGTTCAGGAGTATTTTCTCCTTTGTTGGAAGATCTGTCTCAAAATTTCTTCAGCTACCCCCTTGCTGCAGTCACAGCATTAAACTTGATGCAGAGGTCCAGTGTGCCCAGCACAGCAGCAGGCAAAGCAGAACAAATGCCAGCCACCAAATAAACACATAAATACATAGAAGGAGGTAGCCAGTCCAAAGATCAACTGCCCACTTATTTGCTGCAGGTTATCTCAGGTAGATGCACATTAACCCTAATCTTCTCCTGCAGCATGCAGAAGAGCACAGGACCTTGAGGACCCCAACTGCAGTCACTCCCAGTGTTGACTTCCCAGGTCCTGCACGCAGGGGAAGACTTTCTCTTACCTTTTCTAGCTTGGAAAGGGCAAGAGAGTAACTGTCCTTTGCTCTGAACTGCATGAACCTCATGTTGGAGGGGTGGGTCAGCTCCGTGATAATGCTGAGGCTGGGGAAGAGCCTGCAATGGAAAGAGACCTGTTTTTTCTGCAGTTTACTCAGAAGTGAGAGCATTCCCTGTATTTAAAGCCTAAGGAAGACCAAAACCACCCTTGTGCCTGCCTGAGGTCAGAAATCGCTGATCAGATGCTGTTTCCTAGAGCGAGCCCGACTGCAGATGTGTCCCACTGTCCCACCACCCCAGCCACTAGCATCCTTCCCAGTCTTGCCTCCAGCAGAGGTAAGTGGCCATGATGGAGCCAGGGAAGTGCTCACCCCTCACCTGAACATGGTCTGGACATTGACAATGGTCTTTGCGTCTGCCATGTAGTCCTCCTCAGCGCTCATCGTGCTCTCCTTGTCCACAACCACCAGGTTGTCGGCGTAGATGATGCCACACTGCAGTAAGCTGTCCAGGCTGAGCAGTTCCCAAAGAGAAGAGCGCAGGGTCAGCCCTTGGAAACGACACAGGGAAGCAGCACGCTGCGACGGGCAGCGCTACAGCAAGCCCAGGCTGCTCCCACCACCAGCTCTTCACTTGCTCCCATCTCCCAGAGGGGTTTGGCAACCCATGAAGCCATGGGTGGGCTCAGCTCTACAGTACCAACCCAGGGGCTTCTCATGGGATGGCCCGAAAGCCTGGGTTGGGGTAAATTCAAGACATTTAGGCAGTGCCATAGGTAACAACAGCCACGTGCGGCAACACTTACTTGTCGATCGTGCCCTCCATGTAGTAAACCATGGGGAAACAACAGATGGCTTCCAGAAAGTGGTGCTCAGGCCTGAAGGGAGAGCAACAGAGAGCAAGGTGCTTCATCAAGTCCATGGGGTAAAGATAGACACAAAACCCACACAGGAGTTCCCAGTGCCAACATAAGCCAAGATACCCAACAGTGGCACTGCCATTCCCCCACGCATCCATCCCCAGGGTATAAGATGCTCATGAAATCATAGAGGAGGGCTCAGTGCGATGGAAAACATCCATGGAAAAGTACTTGCTTGTTGTCCAGCAGCAACACAATTGGGTTCAACTCTTTGCGGGACCGATAGTACGCACGAAGGGGGACAATGAAGTTATAGAGCCCGTTCCCAGCCGTCTCTGCCGAAACGATAATCAGTTTGTTCTTAAACCCGTAGGCTTTGGCATCTTCAAAGCTGTTGTGCTTGCAGCCCTGTGCGGTGGAAGGCAGCGCAGGGGCTCAGCGTGAGGCTCTCACCCACCCACCATGCCTGGAGCCGTCCCATCCCGGGGGGCCGCAGCCCCACTGTACCTTGTCCAGCCTCAAGCAGCAGAATGGGGCTTTCTCGGGTAAAAGGTGGCACAGAGTCGGGGAGCTCCCAATGTAGGGGGAGTTCGGGGGGTAGCCTTTCACGTACCTGCAGCAGAGACCAAAAGCAGCAGCGTGAGGACATGGGGAGAGCTTTCCATACGCACAACACTCAGATGCTGGGAAAAATGTTTAGTAACAGCAGCCCAGGATTCAGCACTGGCAAATGCTTCACAAAACTCCCCTGCAGCAGCTGGAGATTTTCCAGAATACATATATTTAGGAATGATTTTTGCCATGAAAAGGGTCATGAGATTGTAAATACACAGTGTTCCCAGCACAGGGGGAGAAGGCAGCAGATTAAGCATCGTTAACCACTGTTAAAGGGAGACAGGGCAGTGAGCTCCAGGAGAGGAGAGTAGTGCTGAGCCACATAAAGAAACAAAAAACCTTCATGGCCCATTTTTAGCGCTCATTTTGGTGAACAGATATTTTTAAAAAATCACCATTTGCATTTCTGATGGCAGCAGAAGCAGAAATTTTCATTTAAAGAACAGCTAAAAGTGGACATGAATTAAAAGCCGATTTGTGAGAGTTTGCAGTAAACTGCCCACATCGCTGTGACAGCATCAAACAGGTAACCAGCAAAGCAAGCGCGCATCTGGCTGCCATGAACTGACAGCTTTAAGTATTTATTTTGTGATGTTTTATTTAAATGCAATGGAGAATAGGATCCTCTTCACGTCAGCGAGTGACGGGAGGCGAGAGGACTGACGGGACAATCTTCCCACCCCCAGCAGTGTCTGCCTCTGTTCAACTTCACTGACACTCAGAGGAGATGTCTCCAAAGCACCCCAAAAGCACTGATTTCCCATGTTGCAGATGCTCATGTAAAAATCGGGCCTCATTCCCTCTCATGCAAAAGCTGAGAAGGAACGAGCCCCAGCACCCATAAAGCACCACTGAACACCCATCATTTACAACGGTTCCCATCTCTCTGAAATGAATCAGTCACAGAATGGTTTGGGTTGGAAAGGACCTTAAAGCTCCTCCAGCTCCAACCCCTGCCCCGCGCAGGGACACCTTCCACTAGCGCAGGTTGCTCCAAGCCCCTGTGTCCAACCTGGCCTTGAA